ATTGCAACAGCAACAGCAACAGCAGCAACGTCCTGCATGCAACCCTTTTTCACCTAGTTTTTGCCTTTGGAAAATTTGTTTATCATTAACAGATTTTTTCTGTGGCGCAGGCAGCAATGAAAATGAAAACGAAAATGAAAATGAATTATAATTACGTCGAAGCTGAATCTGAAGCTGAGGCTGATGCCGATGCCGCTGCCGATGCCGATGCTGAGCTACCCTTGCCACAATTTCACTCACTCGCATATACCCTAACAAGAAGGCATTTAAATTATGTTGAGCAATAGACACGCCAGCTATATGCCATAAGTAGAGCTATCTGAAACTATATAGCTGTGGACGAGATCATGGCAAGCAGTATCCTATTATGGGTAGTATCAATATTATTTATATAATATATATATATATATGTATAAATAATATTAATAATATTATATTATTGATAATATTATATATAATTATCAATATATAGATATGATAGATATAATATTGATACTTAAAATACTGCATACTTGATGATATTATCAATGTAAATTCTATACATATTATCAATAATATATAATATATATATAGCTTCTTTCGATATAAGAGATATTACAGGCAGTAGATATTATAGATATGAACTTTATAAATGAACAGAGATATTTTATTTGTTGAATGGAGATAGTATAGATATTATGGGAATTATAATTGCACATACTACAGATATAATTCATATAGTTATTACAGACACAGATATTATAGATATAGCTTTTAGAAGTAGTGAAAATTAAGATACTATTGACAAAGGATTGATATAGATAGAGACATAGATAGATAGCTGGAGATAGATATAGATATAGATGCCCTAAACATAAGAGCTATCATTGATAAGTGTCATGTTACATTAAATTGATATAATATATATATCTATATAATAATAAAATATATAATGCAGATAGATATTATATATATAGTTATCATATGCATTATAGATAACAAAGATATATGTATTTTGTTGATATTATATTCATATTACAGATACTATGGACATAGTTACAAAATAAATATATACTAAAGATTCTCTATATACATATATAAATAAATTTGATTTTAAATATCTGACCGATTGATATGAAGTTTTGCCTTAAGTCGATCTCTGTGTATCTCATTTACCGAGAGGACTCTATACCCATTCTAAGACATTAAAATTACAATTACATATATATGAAAATAGGTATCTAGTAGAGTATAGGTATATATAAATTTTGTCTGACTAAATATGAGATTCTTATTTATGCACATATTTATTCAGATCATTTATCATTCATCTCTCCACCCAGAGTTAGGGTATTTACGGTGCGATGAATGAGTTTCGTACTTCGGGTGCTACGTTGCGGGGGGATTTGAATATTAATGGTTTTTTGTTGCTGCTGTTGCTGTAAGTTGTTGCCACATAGGCATGCCACACGCGGCGCTTGAGCCTGTGGATTTTGGAAATCTTTTGGCATTGTTTGCATAACATTTGGCAATTATTGCTACATCCTTGCTGACAGTCAGCTAGACGGCCTGGTTGCCGGGATGCGCTTTAAGCCGGCTTAGGCCAAACAGGATGCGGAGCAGCAACAGCAGCAAATGTCAACTCTTATGTGTGTGTGTGAGAGTATGGGGAGTGGGGGTTGCACAGACACTCGCTCAGTCTCGCACTCTCAGCTGGCAATCGCCTGAAGCCAAAGTTTGTGAAAGATCAAAGTAGAGGCAGTTGAGCCAATTGAGGTTAATGCCGTAACTGGAGCAGTGGCAGTGGCAGTGGCAGTGGCAAATTCTTGAAGGCAGTTAGCGCTAAAAGGTTCCTTTGCCTGCGGCACGTTTGTCAATCGAAAGGTGTGCGCGAAGATCGCGAGTAGGCATCTGCCAAATCAACAGCTCAGTCAGTCAGTCATTCAGTCAGTCAGTCAGTTGGCAATCTGTGCAACCTTCCAACTTGCCTCAGGCTGTGGCTGTCGTAGAGGCAGACTCAGAGGCACTTCCTTTGCGGCCAGCTGTTGATTAACTGCATAATGCGACTGCCAGAACTCGAGCATGTCCTTGGCATTCACTTACCTTCCGCACATTTTCATGTCTTTGTCGTCAATCATTTGCATATTCCGTGAAGCCATTTAGAGCGAATTCGACGATATTCACATCTCTACAAGAGGTGTTCTCTTTGTGCTCTATTAAGTCTTCTTCTATCAATACTTAAAGTCATGCAAGCTACAGCAAAGATTTGTATACGCCTCGTACCGTTTGCTTATTCTCTTTTGTGCTGCATTCGTTTGCTTGCTGTAAATAATCTTATTTTTTGCAAATTTTATACACTTCCCTTCTCTTCTATTCTCTCTTCTCTCGCACAAAAGCTGTACATAAGGAACATTTGATTTAGCTGTTAGAGCTTTGAGGCGTGAAAGCTTTGATTTAAGCTTAAGCTCTTCACTGTTATTGGATAGAAATATGAAATGGAAAAGAATAGAAGTTCAACATAGAAATATATACATATATAGATACAGACTTTATATATATATATATTATATATTTTATAAATATATATTCCAAAATATCTATAAAATTCTCCAAAATTAAAAGTCATCTCGAGTGTCGAGTGTGAGTGTCGCTTTTAATTTTTATTGGAATATCTTTAACGCTTGGTCAGCTGTGACCAGCCTTGTACCCCCACCCCACACCCTGGCAAACACAATGTTATTTATCACATTTACAAGCAATTAATAACAATTTTTATCGATTAGACAAGGAGACAAACGGCAAAGTGAAGAATGAAAATAAAGAAAATGAACAGCGGAAATGCGAGCTAAAGAAAATTTAAATTTTCTTTCTTAAAGGGTTAAGGTGTGTCTCTGTGTGCGTGCGCGTGTGTGTGTGGGTGTGGCTGTCAGCGATAATAAAAAATTAGTTGAACGATGCGGGTGAGCACAGCTGGCAGCAAGTGCAGCCTGCAGAGCCAGAGAGGAAGAGGAACTCTGTTACCGGGAAACGTCTAGAGCCAAATATAATAAAAATAATTCAATTAACGCGCGTCCGTCCGCTCAGCGGCTAAATGGGCAACAAATTAGAGCCAAACCCACAAGAATGTGAGAGAGCCTGATGACAGGTCGACAGGGTCAGACGGCGGAGACAGTGGCAGAGGCAGAGGCAAAGGCACAGGCAGCGGCAGTCGTGTAACCTGTGCGCTTGCTATGGATTATCGCTGCGGGTTTTTCACAGAAGCCCAACAACAATAATAACAACAACAACAACTTGTACCCTGTGCGAGCCACACTCAAAATGAATTACAGTGCGAAAAAAGGACGCACGTTCCGAAGGGCGTCAAAGTGTTAACAAGTGTTATGTCAAAGTCTCGATGCTCAGGAAGCAACGGCTGTCGCACGCGCTAAGCTAAGGCACTACGAAGAACGAAAGAGAGAAGGCGAGAGACACAGATCGAAGAGAGGATCACTGTTTGCCTGGCAGCTGTTGCCGCTGCGTGCCGAAACACAATGGGGGCGTGGTGCGTGCTGTGCCGTCCCGTTTGATCCCGTTTGGACTACCTGCTGCTGTTTTGAGCGTACCAAGCAAAGCAAATCACTTGGTCAAGCAACAGCTACAACAACAGCAAAAACTAAAACCGCAAAACATAACGTTACGACAGCTGAAATAACCTGGCTACCAATGGCAATGCAGCTTTAACTCTCCTAAAATTAATGAGCAATTCCACTATTGTGACATATGCAAACTAAGCCTGCCCACGCTCATATACGTTTTGTATGCTATTATTGGTCGAAGCAAAATCAGGCTATAGCAAGTGCAAGCCGCACTTATATTTGCCAAGCAAGCGCACGCTCGCTCTCCTAAGTTTTTTTTCGAAGCAAAGGCAAAAGAGAGCTACTTGTGACCTACTTACGTGCACTGACAATGTGAGCAATGTGCATGTCGAGCTTAAATGTATAAGTAAAAAAGCTAAACTTTTAGCCATATAAATGAAGAGAAACCAAGGAATAGTTCTGCTTTATTTGCACACTTCTACTCTTATAGTTATACTTATACTAACACACATTATACACACTCATAAATTCATTGTGAATTAACACAAACCACCTTATACTCTTAGAGTTATACTTATACTTTATAGTTACACTTATACTTACACATATATATTCTACTTGTACTCATATATTCCACATATATATTCTACTTATACTCCCACACTCTAGCTTATACTCTAATAGTTATACTTATACTTACACTCATTCTAGTTACTTTTATTCATGCTCATTCCATTGGCATTTACACACTAAACTTATAACTTTATAGCTAGACTTATACTTGCACATTTATATTCTACTTATACTCTACTTATACTCTTTCACTCTACATCATACTCTTATAGTTATACTTATACTTACACTCATTCTAGTTACACTTATACTTACTCGCATTCCATTTCAAGTTGCACTCAAAGCATTGGAAATCAATTTCAGTTTGTAGCCAATCAAAAAGCTCCCGCTGGAAACTGTTTACATGCTGGAATAACCTTATTAGTTATTTCCGTTAGTAGCTCGTATACTTAATGCAGCTTTGTATTTGCATTCCCCTAAAAGTACGACTGACACTGAAAGGGAAATTTATGAATTGCAAAAGGAAAAATTAAAAGTTTTGATTTTACTTCGGTGTTTTATTGAAAAAATAAAAAAAATTTAGTTAAAAAAAATAGTTTTTTCTTAAGCGTAAATAAATAAATATTTAGATGTATGAAAAAAATTGTTTTACAAAAACTACATAACAGCAGTGCCCAAAAAAATAACTTAATTTCTAAATTATGTACAAAGCTGAAGTAATATTAAAAAAAATTAATTTATAAACTTAAGAACTAAATAAGCGTCATAGTTAAGCGTTTTCCCCCGTTTGTCAGCGTTGGCTCTCTCTCTCTCTCCCTCTCTTTCTCTCTCACTCTATCTCTGTCACACACTCTGTCTTCGCTCTCTCTCTCTTTAGACGTAGATGGAGGGCAGCGCGAGTCCCACCTCGAAATAGTTGCGCGCATCCACCTTGAGGCGCTTGGGCGGCGTCTCCACGCTCACCGCTCGCACCGGCTGCATCTCTCGCCCACGACTTCGTTTCCGTGGGCGCACGGGCGTGGGCGTGGCCAGGCAAAAGGTGTCGGAATGGTTGGGCAACTGCAGCGCCAACTGCGGCGTAGGCAGCTGGAGCAGCACGCTGTTCGACTCCGGCTCCGGCGTGGCGGGCAGCGGCAACAGAGCAAAGCTCAAATCGCTCGCCGGATCATCGCCGGGCGCATACGAGGGCGACAACATGACCGTCGCTTGGGTGTCCGGCTGCTGCTGCGGCTGCTGCTGCTGCTTGAGCAGCGTGCGCCGGCGCAGATTGAAGGACTTGCGCGGCTTCTTCTTCTGGCTGCTGGGATCCGCCTTGCAGGCCGAGTCGAGGATCGCGTCGATCAGCCTGTCCAGCGTCTGGTCGCCCATGTTGGTCGAGGGCTGTGGCGTCACTGGACGTGGCGCGGCCTGCACTTGGACGCGCGTTGGCTTAGCTGGCTGCTCCACTGGCTGGTCCATGGTGGCCAGAAAGTCGGCCTCCAGCTTGCGTTTCTTCAGCTGCTCCATGTAGCGCGGCTGCTCCAGAAACGGATCGAGCGGCAGCAGACCGCGCAGCGCCAAGTGCTGTCCGCTCGGCAGGCTGGGCGAGTACTCCTCCTCGTAACGTGGCAATGTGGTTGCATAGCGCACGGACTGCACCACCCGACGTCCATGCTGCTGCTGCTGCTGGTGCTGCTCCGACGCCAGCTCCGGCGTTATGTTGCGTATGTCGCTAAGTGGCGCCAGCACGAGCGGACTGTTGCGCAGCCGAGCCAATGGCTGCGGCGTTGAGCTGTTGTAGCCCACACTCGGCACGTTCTCCTTGTTGGCAATCGTGGCCCGTCGCTGTCGACGCTGACGTCGAGCCGCTCGCAGCTCCGGCGCAGGCAGCTCGTGCAGTCGCTGTGTCGATGCTGTCCACTTGAGCATGTCGCTAGCTTATTATTTGTGTGTGTATGTGTGTGTGTGTGTGTGCTCCTCGATCTATGTTCAGAACTCTCTGCTCTGCTCTGCTCTGCTCTGCACTCTGCTCTTCTCCTTACGGCGTTCGCTGACAAACTGAATCGGTTCGGGGTAGCGGGCTGCCTTTTATACTCGGCTAAGGCCAGGCGCTAGGGGTTGTTGCGCAAGCGCACCCCACACCCCGTGGCGAGCAACACGCAATCCATAGCACTCACTCTCTCACATCTTTCACTTCTCTCTCTCTCCTCTCTCTCTCTCAGCTAAGCTCTCTTCCCGTCGTTCTCAATTCATACTTAAGCCTAGCCAAAGCTCCACATTCCAAATGTGCTTTAGCACAATCTCTCTCTCTATCTCTCTCTTTCTCTTAACATCTCTCTGTCTCTCTTTTTCTCTATCTCTCTATCTCTATTTCTTTCTCTTTCTATCTCTGTGTATCTCTCTCTCTCTCTCTCTCCTTTCTCTCCCTCTCGCTTCTCTCCATCTCTCTCTCTCTATCTCTCTCTCCTCTCTCTTCTGTCTCTCTCTTTTTATCGTCTTCTCTATCCACTCTCTCTTTCTCTCAACTTCGCTCTCTTCCAATCTCTTTTTCTGTTCCTTTCTGTGTCCTTCTTTTAATGTCCCGTCATTCTCTCAAACTATATCTCTCTCTCTTCCTTTTCTCTCCTACTTATCTTAGTCTTTCATTCTTCCTCTCTCCCTTCTATCTGTCTCTTTTTAAGTCTCTCTATCTCTACATTTATATATATTTCTATCACCATCTCTTTCTCTTTCTCTCTCTATATATCTCTCTTTCTCTCCGTTTTATCACTCTTTCTCTTTAATTGCTTCTGTCCCTATCTCTCTCTCTGTCTCTCTCTCACATTAAATGCATGTGCATGTCTCTCTTCCTTTCTTTTTATCTCTCTCTATCTCTATCTCTCTCTCTCTCTCTCTCTCACCCTCTCTCTCGCTGCCTCTTTCAGAAAGCTTCAAGTGGAGCTTGGATCAATATCACAATTTTGTATTCTCTCATCGTCTATATACCTAGTCTTATATTATTTCCCACAGGACGTCGATTGCGTCCCACGGCACGCCCAAATGAGGTCTAGATCTCTATCGGCAATCTCTTAGTTATTAAATTTGCTTTTGCCCTCAAGGAAGTGATCGTCATTGTGGCTGTAGTTGCCTTTCCTAGCTGGCCTTAGCCCTGGCCCTGGCCCTACCCCTGACGGCTACCCCCATCTCTGGCCAATTTGAATGTCGCTTAGGGGTCGACTGGCTGACTGGCTGACTGGCTGGCTGACTTCGTAGCAACAGGCTCTGCTGTTGACACTTGCTAGCCAAGCAAGGCCAGGTCGGTTAATTAGTTCGGCTCACAGGTTGCACAACTTCCTGTCTCTCTCCTCCATCTCTCCAGTCGGGACTATCAAGCATTAATTGCGGCTCTTTAGCGACCACTAAAACAGATACTTTAATTGAAATTTGAAATTGAAAATGTGTGCAACTTCCGCAGGAAACATTTGGAAAACGTTACGAGCGTTGAGTAGGTGCTGATCCCGCACATTAGTCGTCCTGCCATATGGCCAACTGGCCTCAAAAGAGTTTCGCTTCTGCTGGACACCTTTGCCCGGATTGCAGCTCTGGTCACAGCTAATCCAGAGATTACGATCTCGCACATTCCTCAACTCTGCGGATCACTCTGCTCAGCAGGGCTACTGCTACTACTACTAAGCTCTGGCGATCGGTTGACTGTTAATTATTGATGATCTTGTTCAGAGCTGCCCACATGTACAGCAGCTCGGATCATACGAGTCAAGCTGCCATCAGCCAGCTGCTAATATGATTTATCTGTAAGCCCTTTTTGACTGATCTTACAGAGCCCTTTATGATCTATTAGAATTCCAATGTCCTATATTTTCCGATCGCTTTAAAGATGAATCTAACACGATCACCATCTGTTGATCTGTACTAAACTCGATTCTATAATTCCATTCGGTAACTGATCATTTCCAAGCTATATCAGACTCAAAGGATTGTGTTGCCATTCTCTAGAAATAGCTTTCGATATATATTGGCTACAGCTGGACGATTATCAGAGTATTACAAGGCTTAAAATAGTTGGAATTCACTTTTCCTTTTCTTCTTTCTTTTCTTCTCTCTCTCTCACTCTCTCTAAAGAGCCATCAATTTGCACTTAGACATTTTAGCATGTTGAAAGATTGTTTCTGGCCGCTTCCCAATTATCGCTGGCATGGCCCATAAATCTCGCCTCGTCCTTTCTCGCATCTTTCTCTGCGGTGAAAGTTGCTTTTTTTGTTTGCTTTTACAGCCATTCAACGATCCTTTGCGAAACCGTGCAACAAAGGGGTAAGGGTAAATTAATTGAATGCTTTAACTGGCAAAAAAAAAATCTACTTTTCAACTCTTTTTTGGTTAAATTTCGGATTTTTTTGCACACGAAAAAAGGGTTTCGCATATTGGTTTTTTCTTTCGTCTTTTCTTCCTTTTTTGCCTCGCATTTGAGCAGCCCTTCGCGGCTGGCTCTGGCTTTCTTTGCGTTTCTTTCGGTTCCTTTGGTTTTCTGTTTCGCTGTTTACATAGCCACACAAAAGGATTAAATGGGATTTTAAAGCAATTGCATTTAACGGTCTATATATACACATATGAGTGTGTGTGTGTGTGTGTGTGTGTGTATGCCCATAAGGAACTGTTGATTAATATGATTTAACGAGCATTCTTCTAACTGGGCGTGTCCTGTCTCTGTGGCTGTCCTTCAGGACGGCCTGCTTGAAAAATTATCATAAGCCGCACATTTTCTGCGGTTTACACCAAAAAAAAAACACACACACACACGCATAAGTAGAACCACTCAAAATCAATTTACATTATTCACGTGCGACAATTGAGTTTCTTCGTTCCATTTTTTTCCTTTTTTATGAGCTCAACGATTTAACGCTTAATTAACGAGCCGGCACACAATCCGAAGAGCGTGAGCAAAAACATCAAGCATCCCCCTCCCCTTGCGTATCTCTGTCCAGGCCAGTTGACGATCGCTATGCAAATTGCCTGCAGTTTTTTTTCGCTCTCTTTTCCATTTTTTTGTTTTTTTCACACACTTTGGCTCTCTCGCTTGCACACTGCGCTTGCTTGTGCGCTGAAGAGCGTCATAAAGAGCCACTTGACTTTCACTCTTTGGCTTTGACTTTGCCTTTTGCATTTCCCTCTTTTACTCGCGTTACCGTTGGTCCCCCACAAAACAGTCCGATTTGATTTGCATGCATGTTCAATGGCCTGTGGCAAATACTTCGGCACTTTGGCGCATAAACTTTGCGCCTCGCTTTCTGTCTCTTTCGCTCCTATTAGCAGTCGCATCGGGCAAATTTTTTTTTTTTTTTTTTTTTTTTTTTTTTTTTTTTTTTTTTTTTTTTTTTTTTTTCGTTTTTATTTCTTTATTTTGTTGCAGCTTATTGTCTTAGACTCTATAGCGCATTTAGCTCTAAACCTTAACTAATGGGAGGGCAGATATGCCAATTATTCTGCACTTGTAGCTACTATCTTAATTAGTTCTAATATTGTCTAGAGGATGCAATCTCTTCAGTCTTCGCCTATTGTTGTTTATAGCCAGGTTGCTTGCGAGATGGTTAGGATGCGCTGCAAGTCTGTCCGCGTATCTTGAACTGTGTCGCCCAATGAGTTCAGCAACTGTGGGAATTGCTAAATCCCTATGTAAGACTGAGTTTCTTACAAACCAGCTGGCTCCAGTCCATCTGCGTAGTGCTTTATTCTGCAGGGTCTGAATTTTGTTCCTTGTAGTCTTCGCCGAGGAGCCCCATAGAGAGATACCATATACGAAGGTTGGGACAACTATTGCCTTGTAGATGGCGGCCTTGCTGCTGTAAGACAACTTGCTTGAAGCTCTCAGCATCCAGTCGAGGGTTTTTAGCTTGCTTTTGCATTTTGAGGTTACTTGACTTATGTGCGCTTTAAAAGTCAGCCTTCTGTCAAGAGTGATACCAAGGTACTTTACTTTTGAGGCTTTGGGAATAGTGGGCCCCAATGCAACGCTTGGGCAATCTCCTCTTCTAGTGGCGAAGGTAGTATGTACAGACTTTTGTGCATTAATGGTGATACACCACCGTTTTGCCCAGCGTCCGAAAGAGTCCAGATATTTTTGTAGTGAGTCTGAAGCTTCTTGCGCAGATACGTGACGTGATAAGATGGCGGTGTCATCTGCATAGGTCGCTATGAGTACTGCATCTGTACTTCCTATATTTGGCTCGGGAGTTGGCATATCTCCTGTGAATAAAGTATAAAGTGTTGGGCCTAGAACACTACCCTGTGGTACTCCAGCCATAATTGGTCTAGTCAAGGATACTGTTTGCCCCCTTGACACTTGGAAGGTTCTTCCAATAAGGTATGAGGATAGCAACGCGAAAAATGGGGCTGGAAGGGTGGTCCTCACTTTCTGCAGCAGTCCCAGGTGCCAAACTCGATCAAACGCCTGTTTGATGTCTAAAAAGACGGCAGAGCAGTACATCTTTTCTTCAAAGGCTCCAAGGATATGGTGCACAACTCTGTGAACCTGTTCCGGTGTTCCATGCTGTCTCCTGAAGCCAAACTGATGGTTTGGAATGGCCTCCTGGCGTCCCAGATGTGTCAGTACTCGTTCCAGAAATATTCTTTCGAATATTTTGGAGAGTACTGGCAACAGGCTAATTGGTCTGTACGACTCAATTTCTCCCACGGGTTTGCCAGGCTTAGGAATCATCACAATCACGGCGCGCTTCCAGCAGGCTGGAAAGTGCCGGATGCGGAGCATGGCGTTGTACACCATAGTTATGTAGTCTATGGTGGAGTCAGGCAGTGCTCTAAGGACTCTGCCGTTTATTAGATCATATCCAGGGGATTTTTTTGCCTTCACTCTTCTGATGTGTTCAAGAACCTCTTCTTTTGTACATCCAGTTATCTGGTCTTCAGCTGGGAGGGGC